ATATCAAGATATTTCACAATGTAATTTTGGAAGACATGAAATATATAAATTAAAAACTTCATTTTCTCGTTAATGATGCTGGTATGCTTAGTAAGTTGAAATTCACGTACTTCTACATGCATCTGAAATGAGCAGTTATGCTTTTTTCTGCTATAGTGGAACTGAGGCTCAAAAATTTAGACCAAGTTCTCATCCAACACTCTCCCTAGTCTGATGAACTTGTTCACTTGAATTAGAAAAGTTGTGAACACACCAGTTTACACATGAGGAAAATGTTTCCTAATGTCCCAGGAACGTTGTTGGCAAAGGAATCAATAATCTTGTACAGAAGCCACCTAGATGCCCCTGACAAGAAGCAGAGAGGGTATTTACTTTGTAATGGAGTGTATTATCTTTTACTGGTGGCCATAAAAGTCTTATCTTGTCAGTAGAGATATTTTAACGCTCATTCCACATATGCCTTTCAAAATTTGTTGACATCATGGTGATTGTCCAGAAATACCCCAAGCACATTATTTGAATGTCTGTCAAGGTGTGTTTTATTTCTGCTGAAATTATATGAATCACTCTGGGGCCACATAAGTGACATCTGCTGCCAATTCTGAAAGTAGAGTCAATTTAACAGTGTAGTAGGAAAATGTACAGCTTGTATATAAAGTACTTTTGGTTTCTGTCATAGCTTCTCCCATCTCTCCTTTTCCCCTGTGGAACTCAAGATCACAGAGATGGCAGAGGCAGAGGAAACAACGGGTAGTCCCTGGTCACAGCGAGAGACCAAAATCAGTTCATTGTTTGGGTTGTATTGTGCATGCAAAGGCATAATTCAGGGCAGGCAAAGCCTACTGTTCTCTGGAAATGTTGTCTGATTAAAACCATTTTTATTTTTAAAATGAATCTAGATTTACATGTAGAAAGAGGCAAACAAGTACATATGGAGATGAGCGGACTATCACAGAAGTTGTGTTTAGGAACACCTCAGTATTAACAATGGCATATGTGGACTCCAATCTATCAGCGGGTTCTCACCCATTTCCATGAATTTATTAAGTCAAAGTACAGGATAAAGTGGTTCATTGATTTATTTTTTTAAAAATTGAGTGCCTATTACAGGACAGGCACTGTTCTAGATGTTTGGTGAGATCCTATGGTTCTAGATCCTTCAGTGAGCAAAACCAAGATCCCTGATCTCATGGAGCTAACCTCTAGCAGAGAGATACAACCAATAACAATAAACATAAAAAAGTAAATTATACAATGTTAGAAGATGATAAATGGCGAGTGGGGAGAAGGAAAGCAGGGAACAGGGAGTCAGGAGTTCTGAGTTAGGGGGAGTCAGTGTTGGCTTCATGAGAGGGGACAATCTTATCAAAACCTGAAGGACACAAGGGAGTTGGGCCAGCAGATATCTGGGGAAACACTTTCCACACAGAAGAACCAGCTTGAATAACACCAAGACCGGGGATGTGCCTGGGGTGCTGGCGTGCGGAAGGAGCAGCAGGAATTTAGTATGGATGGAGAGGAGAGAAAAGGGGAGAGTGAGAGATGAGGTCTTAGAGGGGGCCTGAAAATTATATAGGGCTCGGTAGGCCATTGTACCGGCTTGAGTGAAATGTGGGGCCACTGCTACATTTTGAGCAGAAGAGCGATATGAACACACTTCCATTTTAAAAGGGTCATCCTGGCTTCTGTATGGGAAGCAGACTGTAGGAGCGAGATTTAAGAGGCTATTAAGAAAACGCCCTAGGCAAGATTAATGGCTGCTTCAATCATAGAGAGAGCAGTGGAAATGGTGGGATTCTAAATATATTTCAAGTACCTATAAGTTTTTGGCCTGGAGTACTGGGAGAACTGAGCTGCTGTCACCTGAGACGGGAAAGGCTGGAGTGGTTCGGTTTTGTATATGTTGAATGTAGATGTCTACTGGAGATTCAGGCGAAGGTGCTGAGTAGAAATAAGTAGATATAAAATGCAGAGCTTGAGGGAGAAGTTGGGTTAGATATAAAAGTTTGACAGTTGTCAGATGCGATGTCTATGGAGGAAGTGTGGATACAGGTGAGAAAAGGATTGAGGTACTCAACTTTAGAAGGGTACAGAGAAGAGGAGGGAAAATTTAGACTGAGAAAGAGTATTCCATGAGGATGGAGGAAGACCAAGAGAGCATCATTTTCTGGAAACCTGGTGAAGATAGTATAGCAAGGAGGAAGGTGTGATCATCAGAATCAAATGCTGCTAATGGGTTAAGGACAATGAAGTCAGAGTTGGCCCTGAACTGTATACAGCACTTAAAGAGAACACATTCTATTACATGCTTAGAAATAACACCACCCTGGTAGCAAGGAAAGCATCTAGCACTCAGATTTTGTTTTTTAAAGACAATTTCTCCCTAATAGAAGCCAGATCATCCTGGTGGAATGGTCAGTTCTAGGGCTGAGACAGGAAATGTACAAGATGGATGATAACATTTTGTTATGCCAGAAAATAAGGGAGAGCTCGAAAAATGATGGAATCATTAAAAATGACAGAGGAGACAACTTCAAGAGGTCCCTCTGAGCAAATATGGGAAAATTTGAGCCTCCAAATGAGAAATGGAAGAATGGATCATAAACCATTGGCTGAAGTAAGAACTAATGAGTCCATACTGACAGTAAGCACAGAAGTAAATAGATAAATAAGGAGAAAGGAAATCTCTTCCTTGCAGAATGTGCCAGCCAATACATGTGGAAGAAATAATAGAGCTGGAAAATTACCATTTTGCAGCCAACAGTAATAACTGATTCAGGTCAGGATCATTAATTGATACTAAAATTATTAAATGAAAGTTTAAAAAGGAGCAAGATAATTACATTATATCCAAGCGTCTATCCACAGGGGACTTATTAATTGGAGAAGGAAAAATGGGTGGTTTTTTTAGTATGCAGTGGGGGCACCATCTTCACTACAAAATCAAAGTTAACCTCACTAGTAATGGGAGGAACTGATATAATGCACTTCTTGGCGTAACGCATTGAGGACACAACATCATGTGTATAGTGTTCTTGCCAAAAATGCACATCTGACTCCAATAAAGAGGAAACATCAGAAAAATCCAAGTTGAAGGACACACTACAAAACCATCAGCCTTTACTATTAAAAATGTCAATATCATGAAAGACAAAGATAGCCTCAAGTATTGTTTCATAATAATAGATACGAGACAGTGCATTAAATGCAGTACATGTCCCTGAATTGGATTTTGGATCAGAGAAAAATTTCCATAAATGATATTATTAGGACAATTAGTGAAATTTGGATATGGACTTATGTATGAGATAATAGTATTGTATCTATAAATTTCTTGAATTTGATAATTGATCTATGGTTACACAAAAGAATGCCCTTGTTCTTAGAAAATACATGCTGAAATATTTAGCAATAAATGGTATGATGTATAAAACAAATTCTTAAGTG